ATTCAATTAACTCCTTGTTGATGGTTCGTCACATAAGCTCACACATTAACGTACCCATTTTCTAGTTAACCCTAGTTTCACGTTCGTTATTCCTAGGCGTATAACTATGTGTTCACATAACTCATATGAGATTAGCAATTAAGAGATGTTCATACAACTTACTTACTAATTTATTAATAGAAAATAGTTTTTATTAGCACATAAGGTTCTTTAACAAGCTTAACGAAACATAATCACCAAACTGAATCAATCCAACCATAAAATCAAACAATAATCACAAAATCATTTATCCTAAACAGAAGTTATGAGTTTTTAGCTCATATCTACAGCAAATAACAAACTAAAAACATATTCTAATGATTGAAACATGGTTTATGCAAAAGATTGAGATGAAAGTAGTGTGTTATTCCCTTTGATCTTCTTCCAAGTTGATATCTAGGTTGAAATCTCGAAAACCACAGCTTCTAAGAACCCTTCTGGCCTCCAAAAATCATCCTAAACTTCCCCCATTCATTAGGGTTCGAATGAGAAGCTTTTCTCTATATATATTATGAAAACAGGGGCTACTCAGCGATTCCAGTGACCTACTCGCCGAGTCCATCAGTTAAAATCCCGTGTATGGCAAGGCAAAGTTGAGAATTGTGAAACTTCTGACCAACTCCTCGCGTTGATGGCCTACTCGTCGAGTCCATTTCAAATCAGCATTTTCTCAAAACATGAAAGTCATCCAAAATTGTGTCTAGTTTTCAGAACATTTTGAATCTCATCAATCGGAGTTATGGTTCATGAGATAGGGCCATAGCACTGACGAGGGGTCAAGTTGTCCAGCAACATCCTTCTTTCTTCAAAATCCAAGATCCAAGCTTCCAATTGCTAGTTATGCTTCCTTTTCCACCCGAGCATGTCATTGTTGCTGAAAAATGAAATTCTAAACTAATTAAGCACATTTTTTCATTAAATGAGACAAAAACAACATAAAGTATTAAGATAATGCATGAATTTATAACTAAATATGCTCATATCACAATCAAAACCTAGATATGCAAGATATATGGTTCAAAGAACTTAGATAAGCCATAAAGTTGCAAACTTTATCTCATTGGACCATTCAAAACTCATTAAAGGATCCAAATAAGTAAAACAATCCCATATCTACTAATAATGAACCAAAAATGTTGGATCTTGAAACCGATGACCTAAAAGATGGGGAGGAGTTGTTTGCTTGATTCTTGCACAAAAAATTATTTTCTTTCTCTCCAAGTCCACCAAGAACACCAACATGAGCCAAAACATCCAAAGAAGCCTAGGGTTTCGAGTTTAGAGGGTTTGGGGCTAAAGAGGATACTCTTCTCCTTGGGAGATGGTGCTTAAATATGGGAGAAACCCTAAAATTATGGGCACGGGTTGAAACTGTCGCCATGTTGTAGCCCTTTTCTTGCCACGTCCCAGGGCTCATCAGGAGGACATACTTATTTAAGCCATGCCACATCGTGGTGTAGAGTTTTTCCCAAAAAACTTCATCTGTGATCTTTTTAAGTCTTTAGTTAAACCATTTTGAAAAACGGATGTTACAAAAAAAAAGTATTTGGTTCTTTATAATAGTCAAAGTGTTATTCACCTTGCTAAGAATTCTCACAAAAGAACAAATAATATTGATGTGAGGTATCATTAGATTCGATATGTATTGAAGACAACTTGTTTGAACTTGAGAAAGTTCATACTGATGATAATGGTTCTGATATGTTAACTAAAGCTTTAGTAAGTGAGAAGTTGAAGATATGTTGTTTGGTCGCTGGGATGGAGAACTCTTCCTCATAGGCCAAAAAGAGGGAGAATTGTTGGGTTTTTTATGGGTTTTTAACCCGTGAATAGATAGCCCAAGTTGATTTGTAGCTCATTTCTTATTTAGCCCACATATATTTTTTACTTATTGCCCTTAAGTTATATAGGAAGAACAAATTCACAACCACCAAATAGAGAGTAAGAAGAAAAAGGAGAGGTTCTTTTTTTCAATTCCCATTTTTGAAGATATACCTGCAGTGTTTCGTAATTTACTGGAGATCCAACGGTCCGTTTTCTTTGTTTTTGAAGGTATACCTGCAGTGTTTCATAATTTACTGGAAATCATCAACACTTTTTGGTGATCTCATCCTTTCTCTTTTGCTGATTTTATTCCATATATTTGATGTGATTTAGTTCCAAGTATATGATGGTTATTGTACGCCTCTAGTATATCTAGAGAAGAATTTGTATTCCTCAAATATTTGTGATAGTGGATTTGAAGAGGTTTTAATAGTCCAGTGGTTATATTATCATTTTCTTAGAGGTTTCCACACTAAAATTATAATGTCTTGTATTGGTTGATTAATTATTGTTCTAGACCGCTATATTTATCATATAACTTGCATTGGGGGTGTTTTGTTGTAAGTGGAAATACCCTATTTGTTTGCATCCTCAAATGTTCATTCAAGACTGGAAAAATGTAGGAAAATTGTTATAAAAATCTCAATATTTTCGAAAAGGTTTCGTTTTAGTCCCAAATTTTATTTTTTGAACAGAAAATTCTCAATTATTTGATTTTATACGATAATATATAATTTCATGTTAGGGAGGAGGGAGTCATTCCCTCCCAACCCACTGAACCTACTGTCACATCATTTTTTTTTTCATATTTCCCAACCCACAACACACGGAAACCCTATCTTTTTGCACTCACTCAACCCATTCAATTAAAAAATACAAAATAATCAAGGTAAAATCTTAATTGACAATAGAGTTACCATCGGTATCACTCCCATTTCAACGGACTGTTTAATTGGTTTCACTAACCCACTTCATCATCTCTCTGCTTTATCTCTCTCATTTTCTCTTGTACCATGTGTTTTAAAATATGTACCTTAGTTGTTTTGTATTTTTTTTAATTGAGTGGGTTGAGAAAGATAGGATTTCTGTGTGTTGTAGGTTGGGGAAGATGAAGAAAAAAAACAAAAATTGATGTAACAGTGGGTTCAGTGGGTTCGGAGGGAGTGGCTCACTCTTCCCTTAAAAGAAAAAAAAAATCTTTTTGTTAATTTTAGCCAAAATGAAACAAATGGTGAATTTTATGTTTAAAAAAAATTGACACTAAAATAAACTTTTCCAAATATATTGACACTTTTAACACAATTTCCTAAAAAATGAAGTTTTATTCCACAATATTATTTACAGTTGTGGGTCTGTGGCTGCGCTTTTCCAATGACATTCATGTTGGTACCACTCGAACACCCATGTCCTTGAATGGAAGGGATCCTCCTTCATATCCAAGGATCGAAGCCCAACTATCCGTTTCTCTATCTAATGGAAAAATACGTATACCTTGAATTCCACACACTTTGAATCCGGAAGAGACATGAAAGGACTAAATTGCAAATTTAGTCCCTGTGGTTATTAAAAAAATGTAGATATAGTCCAAAATCTTTTCAACTTGCACCACTGGTCCAAAATCGAATTCTTTTTGTGGTTTTAGTCCCTAGAAAAGTTGAATTGACTTTGTTGCCCTTTTAATTTTATTTTTGAATTTCTTTACTTTTTTTAATATTTAAAAAAATGAAAAAGAAAAAAGAAAGTGGCTTACCTACACTATATGTACCCTCATCTGTATCTCTCTCTCACACACACACACTCTCTCTCTCTTTCTCTCTCTTTCTCTCTCTCTCTCTCTCTCTCTATCCCGTTTTTTCTGCCTTGTATCCCCAATTTGGAACATGATACCCATCAAACTCCTTCACTTCACCACTTCTTCACCTAACCACAAACCAAAACACACTAAAATCAGAACCAACAAGAAAGTTGAGATTCCAACACCGACCCATTTCGTTGTCCCCAAGCAATGTACATGATGCAAATGAGGGAGGAGCTGGTGGTGTTTTCCAAGGAGCATATAACAAAAGTAATCGATCGAAAAGAATATGGATAAATTAACGATTGACCAGAGCCCGCAACTAGTAGGTATGTAGAGGTTGAAAACGAAGATTCTACTTTAGGACTTGCATCTTGAGCATATCCAATTCTCTTCGGTTGTTTGTTGGTGTTTGGGTAACCAACAACGGGAGAGTAGAGGAGGGAATGGAGGAGGCAGAGACCGAAACAGGCTGGGGTGGGAATCGGGTTTTTTACTTCTTCCCTATTGTTGTGATACATCTCATATTTTTTTTTTGTGCTTCATATCTTAGAGATCAATTTCTACCATTTTCCGGAGAGGTTGAATAGCTACAAAAAATGTTACAGGTTGGTTTCTAGCATGGATGGTTTAGATTAACCTCCTACCGTTCCATGATATTTTAGTGTAGTCATTGATCATATTAATTGTGTTGTAAAAAAGATTTTGCAGATCTAAGAGAGAGAGGGAGATACAAGACAGGGTGGGTTTTTGTTTATGTTGCAGGTAGGTGTAGTACATGTGAAGTGTTTTTTGTGTTTTGATATTTGATCAGTGGTTGTGAAGAACGTGAAGAACATAGGTAAGTTTTGCAGGTTAATGTGCTTAACATAGAGAAAGTGAAGGGATGAAGACAGCAATAGCGGTGGTAGGAAGGAGAATGTGTGTGTGTGGGTGGGGGGGGGGGGGTCAAAGATATGAAGAATGTAAAAAAGAGAGCATGGTTAGCAGTGGATTGAATATTGGCCATTTTATTTTTTCTTTTTCTTTTTTTAAATGTTAAAAATATAGTAAATAAATTCAAAAATAAAAGTAAAAGGGTAAAAAGGTCATTTCAACTTTTCTAGGAACCAAAAACAAAAAAATAATTGGATTTTAAACCAATGATTCAAGTTGAAATTTTTTTGGACTCTATCCATATTTTTTTTTATAACCATAGGCACCAAATTTACAGTTTAGCATCCTAAAGACCTAAACATAAATTTTTTTTACCATGGAAAACTATTTGTAAAATATGTAATAAATACATGGGACCCATTATAAAGGACCTCTGATAAGTACGTGGGACTCTTATAAACGGACTCTTAAATAGTTATATGATGTAATCATAACATATTATCATTATGAAGGGTATATATATCATCCCGGGATAATAGTCCATGGAGTCAGAATCAACCACAGGAATACATTGTCTTAGAGGGGCGGATATGTATACTAAAATAAACAAAATGATGAAGATACAACCAGCAGGAGGCTGGCCTAAGTACCATAGTTACTACGTAGAGAAAAAGACATCAAACATACATCAAAGGAACTATATCTATATGAAGCACCAGTATACAAAACGTCAATCTTCTCAAAAAGTGGTAGCAGCTGTCACCGGAAAATTCTTCCAAGATGTAAAGTTACCACAGCAAAAAACCCAGGACGATGGTGTTCTTTTCCCAGCGGTGTTATCCCCAAACCATAACACTGATTCTACTGCAGTTGAAGAACTCCATGATTTTAAAGAAGCGATTGGAGCTCAGAAGGTATGGCTGGAGTCTCTTCTCCAGAAAACCGGTGCTATTCTTTTCCGAGGCTTCCCTGTCGCCTCACCTTCTGACTTCGATCAAGTTGTCAATGCTTTCTCCTACGTTGAATTTCCCTACTTCGGAGGCGTAGCCCCTCGGACGAAGGTCGTTGGCCGTGTTTACACCGCAAATGAATCTCCTCCCCATATTGGAATTCCTTTCCATCACGAGATGTCTTACGTAAATTTCTCGATTATATGAATCTTGCTTTTCATGATAACAGTTGGCGAACCTAATTGGCTAGCTTAATTGGCACTTTATGTTAATTCAGCATCATTTCGTTCGAGACTACGACTTCATTCAGCTCAAAGCTTTCGCACTTCTTTATTAAACATTTTAGCAAAAGATTTTTTTTTTGTGCTCACATGTTCATGCATTTACAGGCTCCTGATTTCCCCACCAAGGTATTTTTCTATTGTGACGAAGAACCAGGAGAAGGGGGAGAAACTCCGATAGTTTTGAGTCATATCATATACGAAAAGATGAAAGAGAGACACCCTGAGTTCGTTATGCAACTGGAGGAGCATGGAGTGATGTATTCAGACATAATCTACGGTGAAGACGATCCATCATCTTTCACCGGTCGTAATTGGAAGTCAAAATTCAACACCGAAGACAAGAGTGTTGCTGAGGAAAGGTATGTTTATTTTCTTCACAATTTACATTACACCCCATAATGTAATATACAAGTAATGTTCACCAACTTTATCCAAAGTTGCATGGCTCAAAAGATTCCTCCATTGACAGGGCAGCAAAGCTTGGGCTAAAGCTGGAATGGATTGGGAATGCTGTTAAACTTACATCAACTCCACTGCCAGCCATCAGGTTTGACAAAGAGAGTCGCCGGAATACATGGTTCAACACTATTGCAGTTACTTACAGTGACCCTTCGGGCAAAACGTTTAGTAGCGCCGGGGGTAAAACGGTGCAGATCGGTAATGGCGACCCTGTGCCTGATCATGCTGTGGAAGACTACTTCAAGATTGTGGAAGAAGAGTGTGTTACGATACCATGGAAGAAAGGCGATGTTCTGCTTATTAATAATTTGATGGTTCTTCATGGCCGGAGACCACTACTAAAGCCGCCACGTCGAGTACTGGCTTCCCTTTGCAAGTGATCAGAAAAGTTGAGTGATCGCCTCTTTGAAGCATTAGCATTTCACTGAAGGCAATGTGTCAAAAAGATGCAGTTTATGATAAAGAGTGATAAATAAACGGAAATGCAAACAATAAAACAAGATTATTTCCCTATATGCATAAGTAGTTTTTGTAATATGTAATAACAAGAATGTCTTTTTTACATGGGTGTTAGGTTTAGAGAAATATCAAATGGGTTTGTTTTTAGCATAATGTCACACTTACAAAAACTCTACTGTTTAGTTTGGTCGAATGATAAGAATACGACTGAAAACGGATAAAGTTTTTGGTACGATTAAAAATTTATGGCTCGTGTAGAAATAGAGGCGCACAAATTAATCCTACTAGACATGATTAAAAAGATAGATTTAGCATCCCAAAAAAAAATTATAAGGTACCAAAAAACAATACCGGCTGAGATTGATCATTTGATCGCAAAAAAAAAAAAAAGTACCTAACCGAAACCGATGCAAAACAATATATTGTGCTGAGATAGTTTCAAGACGGGTTTAAAAATAACCAGAAATCTTTATATACAAATTATTTTTGTCTTAATCACACGTTAACTAATTTTTTCATTTCTTTCTTTTATTAAATTTTTAATACATCGTGTTAGGTAGATCTTAATATCACATTTTTGGTTAATCACATTTGCTATGGAAATGTTCAGAAAAATTTCAATATTTTGATTCGATTTATGAAAAAGATCCAAGTTTTATGAAAATCTCATTATTTACGTCAGTTTACGAAAAAAAATCCTACTTTTTTACTTCAACTACTATCTTTTCACAAAAATTTAAAAATTTTTGGTTGAAATTATGAATATGAATAAACGTCATTAATCTATCTAAAACTAAGGATGAGTCTTCTATAACCAATTTTTTGCCACAAAAAAATGATTTTAGCATCAATTTGAACTCATTATTGTCTATGTACTTCAATTCTCACACAAATATGTGATAACTATTATAAGATATTCACATTATATGGCGACCATTTTATTACAATCTACCTAAAAGTAGGTTAAATGAAAATAAATTGTTATGCTTTTATAAGAAATTATTAACGGATGGCAAAAAAATAAATACAATAGTAGGTTTTGTGAAATTATATGAATTCTAGAGAAAATCATCAGTTTTATCCTTAAATCTTAAACGTCTATAAACAATTCTTTCGTGGATCAATTACTGCAAAAGTCAATAAATTTATATTTTGGAGTTCAAAAGCAGGAAGAAATGCATTTTTTAATTTGTTTTTCTTTGGATTCACTTCTAATCTTCTATGATCACAACTTCACTTTAACCATTCATGTGTAAAACAAAAAGTGACCATATAAAAATAACACTGGGTTTCACTTTAACCTATTTTTAGATAGATTATAATAATGTATTCAACACATAATTAAAATATGTTATCATACTTGTAACATTAATTTGTGTGAGAAAGAGATTATATGGACAATGACGAGTTCAAAACAATGTTTACGTCATTGTTTGTGGCAAATAATTGGTTATTTATAGAGTTTAATGACGTTTATTTCTGTTTAAAATTTGAACCAAGAAATTTCAAGATTTTTAGTGAAAGGATAAAATAATTAAAGTAAAAAATAAAATAATACTTTTTCATAAAATGACCAAAATAATAAGATTTTTTGAAGGTAACTGGGTAAAATATAATTTATAAGTGAAAAAATGGTTGATTTGACTTTTTTATTTGGTAATTGGATTTTTTTTTTAAACAAAATAAAATTTATGTTTTTTACATAAACTTCACCGAAATTTTGAGACTTACTGGAGATTTTGCTATTTACTTGTGGAAAACTAGAAACCAAAACAAAAAACATGTAAAATGTTGGTATCCAGACTGAAAAGACACACACAATCAATATGAGAAAAATCTTAAATAGCTACACAAAGTTACTACGTAATCAAAATTCATAGCTATTTTACTACGGAATATGCTACAAAATGGGTGGTCGTAACTATTTGTTTACAAAAATAGCTACATAATTGCATTTTGTAGCTAAATCTGGGTTAGCTCCAAAAAATTGCTATGGAATCAAAATTTATAGCTATTCTTCTAAAAAAAAATATGCTATGTGGTTGGTGGTTGTAGACCAAGGAGCTTATAGTCAAGTAATATCAAAAGTTGATGGATATGTGCCCCTCAACCAAAGGTTGAGCATTCAAGTATCGTTATTTTGATATGGAAATGGCAACATATATACATTGAATTGCATAGCTAAATACTGAATTATGTACATGAGACGTCCCAAAATTTATGACCGAAAATTTCATTTTTGTATTAACAAAACCATCAACCAAACATGCTCATAAAACCATAAAGGAAAATTAGAGTATATCAATCAACTATCTCAATACATCAAAGTCAGATAAGGTGGAAATTATGATGTGTATGTTTGTGTGTGATGCGATCACCACGAGCTCTTCCCCTTCAATCCGGAAGCACCTATAACATAAACTGAAAAACGTAAGCACAAAGCTCAGTGGGTTCCCAAAATACCCCATACCATACATATCAAACATACAACGGGCCATGCCCCACAACAATCAGGGCCAACCCAACTTCGAGCTCCGCTCGAAACAGATCTGTCTGTACCATGTGATGGGCCCCATCCAACTAACTCATCAGGCCTCACCCAATATACATACAACACATACACACATGCAAGGTCACACATACAACTAGCATACATATAACCATATGCCATTGGTCGAAATTGGTGCCTTCAACCCACTATATGCTGGGAGGTGACTCACCACAAACTACTGAAAAACAGATAAATATGCAGGCTGCTAATCCAGGAAATCTATGCACTAAATATAATCAAATAACATCCTAATTAATAATTAAGGCATAGATCATATCCAAGAGTCTAAGTCTTTAATCCCGAATCCTAGGGTAAAATACCATTTTACCCTTCCCTTAATGGGCCTATCAATCGAAGCCCAGTCCCAATGATACTAAAGCCCAACAGTGTCCCAATTCCTAAAGAGCACCACAAAGCCCCATAGGGGCCTAAATACAATAGGCCCCAAAGACTATCAATGTCCCAAAGTCAGAAAACTAGTCGCCCAACAAGGCCTAAGACCCAACATCGCGTCGCATATCGTTGCCAATCCTTGGTCACATAGTGAGAGTCACTTGTTCTGATTCCAAAGACTTGCTCTTGACTCAAACAACATAGCATGGCACGGGTTTACCATGCACACGTCGTGATACCTCACGTCTCGCGTCATGAGAACGATCTGAAGCCTAAACCAAATTTTCAATGTTCTTAATCCGTTCAACCTTCAATTTCAACACTTACATAAACTTAAAGGGAACCTAGTGGTTTATAAAAATGCTTGCTTTATTGACATGCATGCACCATGCATGTCCCTACACCATTTTTTGTCATAAGCAGAAATATACTCTGAAATTCTCATTTGGGCCTCTAATACTTCACCAACTTCCAGATCTGAAAGATATATGACTCAAAGACCATTTGAATCCATAAAGTCGCTAACTTTATGGATCGTCTTCACTCCCACTAACTACAACTTAATGAAATGGGCCTATAAGCCTAGATCTAGCCGTGAAATAAGATAAAGTTTGAGTCTTGGCACTTACAAAGGGTCCAACAAAGAAAGAGATGATGATAATGACGCTTCCTTGCAACGTCCACCATAATGATACATGTTTTTCTTCTTTTTCCTCTTATTCAAGTAAGCAAAACACCAAGAATGATCAAGGATTTCAAGAGGGTTGAAATTAGGGTTTCCATGAGGCTTACAGGGTAAAAGAGGCTGGGGATGTGCAACCCTAACCTCTCATTCCTTAAATTCCTTAAATATTAAGTTTTTGAGTCATTCGTTCATCCTCACGTTATGAGACTTATGCATCATGTCGTGAGACTCAAAAAATTGCGGTCAATTGGTCAAGTAATACTCACGACGACCATCATATCTTACGGCGTGACCCACTCCACAAGCTATAAAAGCGAGGAATTATGTACCTTAAGGTTATGGATGTAACACCGTAAATTCTCAAATAAAAGTTTCATTTAAAATTGTATAGTTCTCATAACACATTTCACAAAAATTTCATTTATTCAATTTACAAATCACAACTCCATAACTGTTTGATTGAAATCCATGATCTTCAAAATATAACTCCTTCACTGGTGTGTACAATCAAGTCAGTGCCTTCTCGTGATCTTGAGTAAAACCTAAAACACATAACATATAACACGGTAAGAACGAAGCTTAGTGAGTTCCCCCAAATACCACACACACACACACAGCTCATTAGCCACTTGAGGCTATAGCACTGTAAGAACCCATGTTCAATGTGTCACAGTGGGACCCCCCGGTCCCACGGTTCCTTGGACCCTCCGGTACGATCTGTAAAGCTCCGCATAACATAAATCACAAAAACATAATGCACAACATACAACATAAGGCAGGATAAGATAATACTCAATCTAAGTATATAAGACCCTATGGTCACACATAAGTACCACTCTAGGTAAAGTATAGTAAGAAGACTCACTTTGCTAACAGCAAGCACATTTTCCTCGAACTCGAATCTCGAACTAGCCACTGCCTAACACATAAGGTAAACATCTCTAATTAATACTCGATTCTCGACTCTAAATAACCAAAAGTTATTCTTCTCTCTATAATTCTTGGATTGGGTAAAAGAGCATTTACCCCCCCCCCCCCCTCCCATGGTCTCCATTACTCATGTTGACCAACCCTAAAGCCATCAGAAGTCAAACTCGAGTCAACAGTCCATGTTTAACCCGACTCGTCGAGTGCACTCTTGCAACTCGTTGAGTCCCCTTGTTTCCTCAGAAGTCTCAAGAAAGTCTATCTCAACTCGTCTACCCCAACTCGCCGAGTTATCGCACAGTCAGACCCATTGGGACCAACCCTCACAGACTCGTTGAGTCAGGCCATGGACTCAGCGATCCCCTTCAGACTCATATCTCATTCAGGCATTTTCAAGGTGGTCATCAATCACGTAAAGCCACAGGCTTTACGTTCATGCATGGCATTTTGAGCTTAAAATGCCAAAACACACCCCTAAAAGGGTTTTTCACTCAAGATCACTAATATCGTTGGATAAAGCAGGGACTTTTGGACTCTAGAGACATCACATGGTCCAGATCTGAAGTTCAACCCTCACAATGAATATGAAACACTCAAGGGCCCTCATATTTGGGTGAAAAAACCCTAGATTCACAAAATCATGAGATCTATACAAAATAATG